CCAGGCCCTCCACCAGGTTGAGCAGCCAAATGTGTTTGGGACACAACCACCGAGTAACCACTGACCCGGGTTAGGGAACAAAGGGACAGGGAGCAGCTCCTCAGAGAGGGGACCTGGGAGTCGTGGTAGACAACACCCTACCGTCAGCCAGCAGCACGGCCTTGCTACAGGGAGGAACGCTCTGCTACAGGCAAAGCACAGCCAGGAGGTCACTGGGAGCAATTATTTCTCTCTGTGCAGCACCTGAAGCCACTTGTGCAAGAATGCCCAGTTTTAGGCCTCCCAGTACGAGAGTTCCCAAACTAGAGAGTGTCCAGAGGGCCACAGATATTTGGGGACTTAGGACATACAAGAGGCTGAGGGAGCATGGCTTATTTTGTCTGGAGAAGGTAGACAAGGGAGGATAATTGCACTCTTCCACTGCTTCTAAAGAGGTGTGATGGAGAAGACAAACTCCACAGAGGTGGAGAAAGGACAAGAGGCAAGAGCTACAAGCTGCAGCAGGGAAAAAGAGTCACGCACTGGAATGGGCACCCAAGAGGCTGTGGAATCTCCCATCTTTTGGAGATTCAGAATTGACTCAATGAGGGCCTGAGCAACACAATCCAACTTTCAAGCTGGCTCTGCTTTGAGCAAGGGGGCTGGACCAGATGACGTGCACAGAGGTCCCTTCCAACCTAGGCCATTCTACTCGGCATACATCTGAAGAGAAATTGAAAACATATACATACGCCTAAGAAATAACCTGAAACGGCAGAGAAACTTGTGAAATAAATGCCAAGGGCCTTTTTAACCCCAGTTCATTGAGAAGACCACAGATGACGTGCTGGGCTATTTCAAACAAAGAGTATTAATCTGATTGGCATCTGAGTTCATGTAGCAACAAATACAAGCATTATTTCATTAAGAAAGCCATTCTTCAGTCAAAAACTTAAGTATTCACTTGAGCAGTGGTGTAGAACTGAGAATTATACCAGTGCCCCAGAAACGCATATTCACAAATATTTATAACTTTCCTTTTTTAAAGGGAAGAATGGCAAGAAAGCCAATCTGTTGTGTTTTAAATCTATTTTAAACAGTAACAACCCACACAAGTATCTTCTGTACCATATTACCAAAATACTTAAAATAAACAGTGAGAATTACATCGACCAGGAGATCTGGATCTATGCTGAACTGTCGTCCTGATAACATAGCTTGAAAGTCCTCTAAGCTGCAGTCGATACTGTCAAGATAATCCAGAAGTTCAACTCTAGAAGACAAACAGTATTTATTGCTGTATGCCTTAACAAAAGGAAGAGAAATCTACAATTAAACTTTATACAGATATATTACATATATCTAGAAATCTTCACCAGAACTAGAATGAACTAAGTCTTCTATTAGAAACATCCTCTGGAAAAAAAATTAAAACTTTTAGCCTCTTTGGAGGAGAACCCAAATAAAGCAGACAGGTGCTCCGAAATAGGTATCACATCAACGTAACACCATGACATGACATTAACGGAGATGCAATTCTTGCATCCAGGTAGCCCTAATGAGTCCCATCTGCCTGCAAGAGCTACACAGATAAATCCTGACAGTTTAAACAACAATATCCACAACTTTACACTGTCAGATTGCGCACCCCAACTCACTTGCTTCACAATGACAATCAGAGGTCCCATCTTAAAATACTTAAAATAGAAGGATCTTTAGAAACCAGCTAGAATAAAGGTGACCTATAAAGTTCTCAATAGAAACTACTATTCAGTTCTTTTTACTTCAGTCAAACAATCAGTTCTAGTATTTAAAAAACCAAAAGAGCAGGCTACTCACTTTCCAAGGAGATTTATATTCTGTGAAATTACTCCATTCTCACTGAGTATGGAATCCATCATTGAGACCGGATCTTCTGCAGTTAAAGTCGACTGGTTATTCAGCTGTACAGCACTTGACATGAGTGGGCTTGTACTGTCAGTGTCAGGGCTGAGGGGATCATTAGCTGGGACAGCAACTGATTCTGTGCTTTTATCCCCTTGAATTACAGGGGCATATTCTTCTTCGTTATCATCTTCCACAATTACAATATCGGGAGAATGACTACAGCTGTAATAGGAGACAAATGAGTTAAAGCTTTTCGTACACTCAATTTAAATTGGTACTATTCCACAGGTTTAGTTACTTCTCATTTTAGTCAAGCTACTATAAGGAAATAAACCTTCCTACTGCTTTTTAATACGAAACACAGCAAGATACTCTAATTATCTATTTTCCGTTGATATGGTGCTGTAACGCTCAATACAGTTAATGCAGCTCAGCTAGCAGACACTGTTGTGCTAGACCACAATAACAACTACTAAAAAGATAAGGGAACACTGATATTTTTTGCATTAGAACAACTATAAGATCGCATATAATGTAAAGTATGTGCAAAGTGGACCAAAGCATTTAAGGCCATCAAACTAGACAGACTATGTATTTTGCTCCTGCTGAACAGAGTCAATTCTGGAGCATCCATAACATAAAGGATCTCAGTCGACAGTGTTTTAGTTAATTAACCTTGTTATGTATACAAGGAAGACAAGCTAAAAACCAAGAAAGAGTCTGAAATAATGTGCTTTAATCCATATTCTGGTTTTCTTAACCGTTAAGTAGCTGTTAGTTGTGCTGTCTCTCACAGCCTTATCTTCATGAAGCTTTTCTATCAGAGAATGCCTTCCCAGACATCAGCTGAACAAGAACAATGGTACTAGTTCAAGTATAAGCTAGAAATGTCTGAGTGTTATTCCTTGAGGCATAATACAGGCCCTAACAACACAACGCAACCCAGGAAGAGAGCTGCATCTCAATCCCTGGACCAAGTTTCAACTGCTCATAGCTGAAAGATGAACTGCTTCTACAGTGCTAAGTACAGACAGGAAGGAACATAGTCATGAAACACTCGGGACTGCAAAAAAACCCCTGAAATTAACTGGCTTAATAAAGTTCAAAGGCCACACCAACAGTTGACAAACAGCACACGCAAATCATTCTTCATAAAAATCTGTAAAAACAAGGGAAGTCATTCCTGCCTGTATTCATAACCAAAAGGAAGAAGACATCACTCACTCTGTCTTTGGACAAGTAGGATATTTAACAAGAGTGCAATAATACAGATTGCTTCTCACTAGTTTCTATCCTCTGCATATTAAACCTCCAACAGCCAATTAACTATTGGGAACAAATCCCGAGATCAATAAATCAGAACCTAGTGTGAAATCACAGATGAAGCTTCTATATGTGCAGGAGTACTGAATAATTATGACCACTTCATTTAAAAAAAAAAAAAAATTAAGACATCTGAATTATTGCATGTTATACTACACTGAAAGCCAATTATCTATATAGACTGCTAGAGACTTCTTACTTGGAAGAATCTGAAGTGGTATCTTCATGTGCTTCTGGTGTAATGGGAAGATTTTCTTCATCACCCATGGGATTTTCTTCATCACCCACATCCTCAGTGACATCATAAATAATGATGTCATCTGAAATCTGTTCCCTTTGTTTTAAGCCCTCATTTCTGTTGAGAGGTACCTGAGAATTATTTTTAAAAGAATCAGGGGACAGAAGGACAATGAGCTTCAGCATTCTGACAGTTATCATTTTATCTTACAATGCTTCAATTCTAAAGAGGTGCAAGAGCTTTCTCACACCACAGAGATTACAAGCTGTTTGTATAGATCTACACTTAATAGAAAAAACATACAAATAAATGAACAAGCTGGAGAACAGCAGCTACACAAAAAAATGTTTGGCAAATACTGCAGGTGTAGAAATAAAAATATACTGGCACTGCCAGCAAAAGCAACAAAAAAGCTGCGACAACAGGACTACACAAGAACTAAGACTACTAAAACAGTGACTGCCGTTTAAATACTACTTTGTTATAAAGCTACTAATTCTAGTGCCATGCTACAGCACTCATTCCAATGATTTCCCCACCAACCATTATTTGGACAGCAGAAAATAACTTTCAGTGGCGTGACACATTCAAAAGGCATGGGAACTGGACATGATTTTGTTGGGTTGGATGCTGCCTTGCAGAGCAACACGCTGGGTCCTTGTCCCTGTATGGGGCTAGGGGTGCCTAACTCCCAGAGATAACAACACAACATAGATACGCTATTTCTAATAGCACTATTGTTAAAAGGAAACGGCTTGTATTTAATACACAGGTAACTGGCTTATACATGCTTATATTGAAAAGTGAATGGTGATTTTTTTTTTTTTTTAGGTTGGAAAAGACCTTTAAGATCATCCAGTCCAACCATTAACCTACACTACCAAATCCACACTAAACCAATCAAGGGTAGACTAGACTAAACCATGTCCCAAAGTGCCACATCTACCTGTTTTTTGAACGCTTCCAGGGATGGTGACTCCACCACCTCTCTGGGCAGCCTGTTCCAATGCTTGACTACCCTTTCCATGAAGAAATTTTTTCTAATATCCAATCTAAACCTCCCTGGCACAGCTTGAGCCCACTTCCTCTTGTCCTATCACTAACTACTT